ATCAATTAATGAGCATGAAGCAATTATCGCCGAAGAACAGGTTAGTGCAGAAGATGCAGAAATGATTTTCACTGAGGAACAGTTAGAGGGACAGTTGGCAAATCAGAGTTCTATGAAACCCACATCAAGTCACCGTCAAAGTGAGTGATGAGCAGAAAAATAAAGTTTTATATATATTCAAAGTAGATATCAAAAGATACATTTTTTCTTGTGCTTTATTGGGTATTAACTAAAAAGAAAATTTATTATTTGGTAATTAAGATTGATAGTAGGATTTTCCCGTCTTTTTATGTTCTTTTTATCTTACGTTGTGTAAGGAATACTGATGGACTTTTACATTGTTAGTAACTTTCGATTTTAAACTAATTTTTACAGTTTTAGGCGTGCAAGCTGAGAAGTGTGACAAATTTGCAAAAACTGAAAAGGCGGAGAGAGGAGAAGTCGGAGAGGATGAAGATGATGCTCCGCCTCAGCTGGTTCCTGAAGAAGGACCTGGTCCTGAGGAAATCATGCAAATGGAACAGATGGAAAAGGTTTCTAACGTCTTAACCTTTTTTTCAGTATTTTTTTCGAGTGGTTCCAGTTTCTGCTTGCCATTTATTAGGAATTTTGATAGGAGGGTGTATCAGACGTGTTTATTTGACGGTGTACGTATTTTTTTCAATAGTTGCATTCAGTAAAAAACTTTTCGACGATTCCTCACCACAACGGAGTTTTGTTTTGCCCATTAATATGATTTAGATTAGGTTTTTTGGTAACATTTTTTTTAGGTCAGATCTTTTTCAGTTTCAAGAGACAGAGTATATTGATGGTATGGGGGAAGTAATTAGAGTGCAGTCGCCCGGTGGTACGCAACAGTATGTGCAAATTCAACAAGGTAATTTTTACCTCTAATTGTATTTGGATCATCTTTTCTATCCTTTTTGTTACGGTTGCAGAGGATGCTATATTTGTGGATGAAAATGGGACGATTGTTGAGGAGCCAGCCCAACAGGATCTGCGTGCCGTGGAATTCAATTTTTTGGATAGTAAGAATATTTGTTGTGGATTGTGTGGCGAAATTGTTCCATATGATCTCCTCATGTCAGAACATTTACCAGTGCAACATCCGGAGGTAAAATAATTCTTTACATTTAAATACGATTTCGTTTTTTACATGATGAATTGCGAATTGATCGGGCCTTGCATTATTTTGTTTGAAATTTAATTTTCAAACTGTCTTGTCTAACTGTCTCGATACTTGTCGAGGGAGTGTTGTATGCTTAAAATATTTTTTTTAGGTTATTGGTGATGACAACTTAGATTTAGAAGAGATACCCTACGAAGTTTGGTTGAGAGACAAATTGAACAGTGAGAGAAAGCAATTAGAAAATGGATTTCACTCCGGTAGTTACGAAACTAATCGAGTCGCTAGATCCACGAGGACTTTGAGAAGAGTTTCACAAGTAAACACTGTTTTGGTTTTAAGGAAAAATTTTTATTTCATTTTGGTAACATCGGTCGTCCACCCTCTTTATTTTCTTAATATAGGTGCGAGTTAATCCAAATGAAATGACACTAGCTCAGCTTGACGCTGCTCTGAAGAAAAAGATGATCGAAAAAATGGGGAGAAAAGTAACTGATTGTGTTCAGTGCATGTTTTTTCTTATTATTTGAGAACCGCCATCGTATTAATGTGTTTTTAGAAGAATTTAGGCAAGAAGGATAATTTCTGAGTTTATAGGTTCCCGTCGCTCTTGTGGACAAGCAGCATGCTCGCTGTGGCATATGTAATGCTGTTGTTTCGCTGAATCGAAAATTTGAAGTTGTGCATCTTGTGAGACATTTTAATGCATGGCACCCTTCAGCACATCGTTGTGCTGGGACTTGGAAAGACCGGGTGTGAAGATTATTTTTTCTTATTATTGGCCTTCTCAGTAACATTAGAAGTGGTCTTCATATCTTTTGCCTCTTGCTTGGTTTTTTTTTTCTTCTTATGTTAGTAGCTTTTTCAAATTGGATATTAATTCTTTCAGCAGCAGCAACCTGGACAAGGGAAACCACTTTCGATGCAGGATTTTGCTGTTGTCGATACCACTTTAGAGGGTGGCGATAACATACAATGTATTTGGTGTGGAATGTTTATGGACGCTTCTGCGTTAGCTATGCATTTTTCGGAACTACATCCGGATGATGTTGAAGTGCCGAAGTGTAATTTGTGTCTCCAGGTATTACTCATAGCATTAAAGTTTTGTAGTCAGCCTTTGTTTTTAATTGAAAACAAGATTTTCTTATTTTTCTTTCACAGTATGTTTTTGATTTTCTTGCCCTGTGGGACTCATCGTTTAGTGCTCCTCGAGTTTTTTTAAGGAACTTGTAATTAATGCTCGATTGACGGAGAAATATGGAGACGATTTCATGGTTTCGTTGCCCGATGAGCGTCATATCAGATGTGGGAAGTACGACACTATGCATACATCTGAAGCTTTGCTAGATCGCGGTAAGTAAAAACTTGTCTGCATTCGCTGTTAATTTTATGTTTTATTTCGACAGATACTTGGCTTATTAATTTGTTTTGCGGTTTTGGGAGAGTTACTGTTATAACTTTTTCAGAAGGATCTGGTCTTTTTTCTTGTACTTACGTTTGGTTTTTATTTAATCCTAAATTTCACGTATTTTCCCAATGACTTTAGTAACTTTGCGTATTGGTTTCTTAAGAGTTGTTTACTGGTATACAGCGATTTTGAGGTTATTTTTATTGTAAAAGTGGTTTTAGTAGTCTGTAACTGCAAAAATTAAACTACAACTTCTCTTCTTTGATTGTGTAGACTATTTTTTTCCTGTTTATTCAATGTTTTGTAGCTATTGAAAAGCGCCTTAAAAGGATGCAGTTGATGGGTGAAAGTGGAGAAGTTTTTGGTGATGAAGATGAAGATGAGAACGATGAAGAAACTGGAACTGGTCCAGAGGCATATTTAAATAGTAGAATGAGTTTTGGTTAGTTTTTAAAGTTGTTTACAGATAACGTTTTTCTATATGCGTGGATACACAGGTCGGTGTGTTTATATTACTGTGCTATTCAATTTATTTTGCTTTCTGAACTTTCATTTTCACTTGATTTCTAGGGCGTAGAAGCAAACCAAAAAGACACTTTATCATGCCTGCTCTGAGACAAGCTGCCCCAATTGGGAGTCGTTTTGTCGAGCCTGTAACGGAGTGCCATTGGAAGTGTAAACTCTGTGGTGCGGATATTTTAGCAGCTGTGATCTCTGCTGGTGCTATACGGCATTTTCATTTAGCACATCCAGATGATCTCAAAGATATGCAGTACGAATTGTGTAAGGTAAGTGAAAGTGCGTTAGTTTTTTCAGCACTATTCACTTAAATAAAATGCTGTTTTCTAGGCTCGTTTGGAGCGCGTTTCTGATGGTTGTATGGAATTTGTTCACCCACAACTTATTGAGTGTTTAGTTTGTAATATGACTTATCCCCTCCACAAACCTTTCAATATGTGCCGTGCAATCAGACATTTAAAATCTAAACATCCTGATGTAATGCCAGAATATGCTGGGACTAGAGAACAGGAAAGGGTCTGTAATATTTTTTTTCTTAGACTGAACAAAAGTTTGTGGAGCGTCTCAACTTCATTGTAAAGATGAAATTTTTTTCAGCAAAATATAAAATCGATTGCAATGAGGAGGAGGCGTGCTAATAGAGGTATTTTTTTCAATTCGAAAAGTTTTCTGTTGTTGGGCTCTGAGATTTACAGCTTG